AGCCGAGCGCCTTCGAATCCTGAGCCTCAAACGTGCACAACGGACATGTTGTAACTTGGTGTTGCTGTCGCTTTGGAGCCCTCACGCTGAAATCCTGAATGCACCTCCTGTTGGCGACGGATGCTGCCAGATGCCACTGAGCTGTGGCGCGATCCGCAAAATTACTGTTGTACAATATGCAGTAATTCGACAATGTGGCTAAATGGGGGATCCGATCCGTGGCGCAAGCCTGACGCAATATTGCTTCAGTGTCCTCGCGGCCCGTCGCGCACACTCTAACACAATGTGAATGCATACTCTTCTTATCCATGAAACTCGCCTCGCAAACTGGACAGAGCACCCCAGGAGCTCCTTCCATGCCCCTAGGGGTGGGAGGCTGAGAAACTTCGACTTCGATGGGGTGCTCTGGGGGCGCTATCTGACTGGATAACTCACGAGATCTAAGCTCAGAAACATCTATCCTACAAAAAATGCCCCTGGCCTCCCCAGCAAACAACTGCAAAAACTTCCCTCCAGGATTTCTAAAAGCATAGGTCCCTCAGAGGCCCCCTCGAGAGCCTGAACATCATTCCAAAACTGCTGAAGCCATGCGTTGGCTGTGGGCAAAAGTCTGCCTTCTGGGTCAACATCGTAATCCTTTTTCTCACACTGGGCTCGCCCTACGAGGGCCGCAATCACTTGCTGGTGGGCCTTCTGGTGGGTGACGATCTCCTGGAGCCACTTGAGCCTTCTGATGCGGAGCTCCGTGAACCACGTCCCAAACTTCAAGTGCCTCTGAACCTTTAGATTGGAGGGGGCCCTGATCTTGTCCTGCTGCCTCACCGTGTGTTTCCCCCTGAGCACCACCCGCGCGAACTTGTAGACTAGTTGCTGCAACGGGGCGAGCGACTGAACCGTGAGGGGCGAGCGCATGTTAAGGACGAACGCCTCTAGGCCCGACAAGGCCGCGTTGATGACGAGACCTGAGAACACTATTCCTTTGAACCTCATGGAGATCTTGGGGGTGGACCAGAACTTGCCCATCTTGTGCCGCGCTGTTCTGATGGCCTGCATTCTAAACTTCTTCTCCGCCGAGAAACCGTTGTTAAAATGTTGTCGACCTCCCAAGTACCCCGCTTCAGCTACCACCTGTCCATCCATGTGTTGTGTTCTTTCGTGAAAGGCTCTATTTACTGCACCTGCTGTTCGACCTGCACCTTTGACGAGATTCATATGTTTTTCAATGTTCTGGGCTCCTCCTACTTCTTGCATTACATGATCGACGACGCGATTTTCCCATGTTGCAACTTCGGTGAGGTGAGGTATGGTCAGTTCCACTATTTTTCGAGCAATATCATCCACGAAGACTGTGGTAGCCAAATCAGTACCTGTGCGATCGTGTTCAGCTCGAAGTGGGCATGGCCGCCTCGTATGTAGTGCTCGCTGCCACGGGTCGGTGTCCATAATGTCGATCATATTCTGCACGCCGCTGCCGTAGGCCTTGACAAAGAGCTTGGTTGCCGCGTGGTCGCCAGGTAATACACCACTCTGGTTAGTCATGTGACTGCTGTGAACGCCGTCATCAATCGTGAATGTGCTGTTGTGCATTCTCTGATAGAAGAGGTCCACCCGCGATTCATCTGCCAACTCATCAGCTGCTTCTTCTGCTCGGGATTTGTGAATACAGTAAAACGCATTGCTCGCGTCATGGTACCTCGTGACGTGGTGTATTCCTTCTCTTCTTAGTCTGGCCGGTCCGTTCATCTGAACCAACATGGCATCTTCCCTTCTTCTGCGTGAAATACCTCCATGTGCCCAGTATGGAAATCGCGCCCTCGGTTGCATGAGTGATCGAAAGAACGATCTGCCTAGCCCACAGAAAATCATGATGGGTCTCTCTCCTGCCGTGTTCTCCTTGTCATTGTGCTTGGGTAGCCTGCAGCAAGAAGCCTGATTCCAAACTGCAGGTGCTCGTCCAGCTTGTCGTGCCGTGCGACAAAGGAGATATAGGCATCTCTCAATAATGGGGGCCTGAATCTCGTGCTCAGTCACGTGTTCTCTGTCGGTGCCGATGGGCTCTGTCAATGTCTGTGCTGGCCTCTCTGGTGAGATCGTCGCCTCGTGCCTGTCAAGCTCCTCCAGCGGATCCTCAAACTCCGAATCATTTAAACCCAACCCAGTCCAAATGTTGGTGGTGGGAGATCGAATAGTACTGAGAAGCTCTGCCGATTCTTCTTGAAGTAGGTGGCCTCTTCGAAAGACTGGCGGCTGAACTTCGTCTCCAGGGTCGGGTGGCTCTGGCGTTACATGCTCTTCTGCTCCTCGAGTGCCACGTCTATGCTGCCGCTTGTAGTACCAGTTGGGCATAGCCAGCACACGAAGGAGATCGCCCGTCACGCTCCAAGCTGGTGTTGCTCTCCAGGACGGTAACTTTTTGATTGCTCGTCGAATTTTTTCAACATCTTGCAACGCGTCCATGTGTGCTGTCATGTAGTCCGTGGGCTCGTCTTCGTCGTCATTCGGGATGACCCACTCTAAATGCGACTGTATCTGGTGCGGGTCTATTTCCGATGAGAAAGGTCGTCTCCCAAATCCAGTGGCAACATCGGGCGACTGGCATCTGTGAAGAACACGTGCGCTAGCTCCTCCTCGAGTGCCTGTTTTTTGAAACTGACTGGTCCATTCCAATGCCGATGCTCTTGTGGTTGGTATTCTTGCATACATTCGGCCACGTGGACCTCGACAATTGCCTGCAATGAGACGTGATATCCGATGTGCATCATAAGACTTGCGCTCCTTCCATGCCTCCCATAACGCCTCAACCCTATTCTCAAGTAGCTGATCCTGCATAAGTTTCTTCTTCTGCTTGAGCTGCTTGCTGATGCGCACTATGTCCAGGGAGATGCTGTCGTGGCGGGCCTCGTCCTCTTTTGCCTGTCTGCGCTGCGCCAAGAGCGCTGCTACCTCACGCGACAGGGAAAAGTTCTGCTCCTTCTTCTCAGTGTAGCCAGGCGCCGAGGTCAACATCTCGTTGGCTGCATCACTGATACATTCCATCATGCCAGCATTGATCTGATCTACGTTGCCCTCGTACTCCCATTGCTCGAACTGATTACGATGCTGAGACAAACTGTTCTCAACCTTCTCGATGAAAGCTTCTCTTCTGTAGCCATATAACAGCATGGCGTTGCAGGCCTCCGCGTTGGGCTTGCGCCCCTTCTGCGAGTTCTGTTGGTGCACGAAGGTGTGGAAGAAGGAGACCTGCACCGGGAAGTGGTCCTTGGCCGATGCACACCTGATGTGTTGCAGTCTCTGCCCTTTCCGCCATGAGACCATGCATTCTTGCACATTGTCCAACGTGGCTCTTGGTAGAATTATGTAGTCGATTCTCTTCCTGCAATCCTCTGCGATGCCAAAATACGTAACTCCAGCTTGAAAGAAAGTGTTCCTTCAGAGTAGATCGTGCGCTTTAAGAACTGGTTTGATGATACCATAATTCATGCCATCTTTGTCTGGTTCTGCTGCTCCAGCGACTGGTTGTTCTGTCGGATCCGCCGCACACGTGGAATGCAAGTCCGTGCCGATGACGGGGATGCATCGCGATGGCAGCTTGCGCAACTGTCCATGAAACCATTCTGAAAATTCATGCGATAACTGACGTTGAGTGGCGGCAGCTCCTCGCCCCTTTCCCCGCGTGGGGTAGTAGAGAGAGAACGCTGCGAAGTCCTGTCTCCCCCTCCTATATCTGATCATGAGCCCTCGCCCCTGAAGCCGTCCTCCCGCTGCCTGCACTCTAATTACATACTGCGGCTGGTAACGTTTGATGCTCACGCTCGAGAGGTTGGTAATGAGATCGATGGTGAGACCGATCGATAAGAAGATCGACCAAGAACCCGGGAACCCGGGAACCCCGCCGCCCACCGAAATCGGCGGGAAACCCAGAACCGGGAACCCGGGAACCCGGAACCTGGAACCCAGAAACCCAGTGTGCGACCGAAATCGGCGGGGCCTTTTCGCCAAATCCTTCAACTTCCGCGAGGACCCCTTCAGTGCAAGCACTGATTGGGGAATCTATAGGGGTCCAGCGTATGGTACGCCGTACGTGTTGTTCGATTGGGGCTTTCTAGGTCCTTCAAGCATGTGTGTTCCGATCCGATTTCTCTGAATCCGATCCCATCCTCGTCGTTGCCGTCCTCTCCTGCTCCTCCTGCTCCTGATGCTCCTGCTCCTGCTGCTGCTGATCCTTCTCCTCCTCCTCCTCCTTCTCCTCCTCTTCCTCCTCCTCCTCCTCCTCCTCCTTCTCCTCCTCCTCCTCTTTTGACGTTCGACCAACTAGAGGCGGCAGCCTGGAGCGTGCATCCTCCTCCTCTTCCTCGTCCTCCTGTCTCATCCCCCTCCTGCTCGTCCGACACCCCCCCTCTAATTTGCAGCCCCCCGTCCCCCCTCCGTTGGCGCATCATGCGATTGGACCACCTTGGGTACCAAAGTTACCTGGGACATCCCAACCGGCGCTTACAACCTACTTCTGCGCAATGATATAGCATTTGTGGGAGGAGAAGGATGTCAGATATGGCACGAGAGGTCCTAGCTCGCGTTCCCCTCGTCTCCCCTCTCCTTCCCCCAGGCTGCGACCCACAATGGGGGCAAGGAGCGCGCCACACGCACAAATACCGACGGAGGGGCCGAGATGTCGTGAATGGGAGCGTCGATGACCGGCAGCTCACCAGATGGCGACGGAACTCGCTGCACAGATGATCTGGGGAACTACTGCGGCAAACAATTGCATGCTTTGGCGGGCAACCGACAGCAAACTCTTCCGCCACCTTGCGTCCCCAAGCTGCACACCCTTCGACCCCCCTTGTGGCTTCCCCTCCCGAAGCTGATGCTTCTCCTCCTCCTCCTCCTCCTCCTCCTCCTCCTCCTCTTCCCCTTTCCCTTCAGGGAGCCCGACTGCTGGAACCTCCTCCTCCTCCTCCTCCTCCTCGCCCTCGTTCTCCTCCTCCGCCCCCTCACTGGGGAGCCCGACTGCTGGAGCAACGGCATGTTGGCGTCGACGACCTCGGGCGGGGGAAGAAAATATGGCGCCGCGGCATCGGGCGCCGGACAACGGGAGGAAGAGGATGAGCATGATAAGCAGGGGGAGCACGAGGATGATGAGCAGGAGGAGCATGATGATGAGGGGCAAGACGAAGAGGAGGAGGAGACGCGGGAGGCGAAGGGGAGGCGGGAGGCAGAGGGCGGGAGGAACCGGACGAGCAGGAGAGAAGGAGGCCCGAGCGACGCGGCGGGAAGCGGACGCAGAGTGTATAGCTCGGCCCGCTCCCGAAGCCGTGCTAGGGTGCGCGGGCACGCCGCTGCGCGGGAGGTCACGAGGAGCAGGGGGGAGGACAGACGTCGGGTGTCGCTAGAAGTGCCCCTGGCCCAACGTGCCCCCAGCTTCTCGCTCCACTCTGGGGCCCCATGGGGCCCCTCTGGGCCTCGTGATGGGGGGTGCCCTGGGAGGCCGCCTGGAGAGTCCTGGGGGGGGCCCCTCCTCCCCCTCCTCCTCCTCTTCCTCCTCCTCCTCCTCCCTTTCCTCCTCCTCCCTTTCCTCCCTTTCCTCCTCCTCCTCCTCCTCCTCCTCCTCCTCCTCCTCCTCCTCCTCCTCCTCCTCCTCCTCCCCCTCGTCATTGGGCCAGGGGCACCTCTGGCAGCGCCCGAAGGGCGGCCCCAGGCGGAGCACGAGCGCGCCGGATCGAGAGCGAGGGGACAGCGCCGGGCGAGGGGGGGGAGGAGCGGAGGAGCGCAGCTCCAGAGCGCAGGAGGGAGACGGCGACGGGGCGATCGACCGAAGGATTGATTGCAAAAAACCCTGGATTGCAAAAAAACCCTTCGAACGAAGGATTGCAAAACAACCCTTCGAACGAAGGTTTTTTTTTGCAATCCTTCGTTTGCAGTCCGGTTTTTTTTTGCAATCCTGGGTTTTTTTGCAATCCTTCGTTGCAATCCTTCGTTCAAGGGGGGGCGAGGCGACGGCCTCGCCGACGGCACGGTGGGCACCGGGTCGGAGGCCTGCGCTCGGGAGGAGCAGGAGGCGGCGTGCGTGCGCCGGGCGAGGCCAAGACGAGTGGCCGCGCCGTCCGAGAGCTTCAGGGCGCGGGGGGTGTGGCAGCGGGTCGCCCGGGCACCGTCGGGTGCGCATCTTCTTGTCAAGAGGGTGCGGTCGCGTTCTTGCACCCGCGCGAGGGGTTGCGCTCCCGCAGATCGGGCCTACATTCCTCAAACAACTGGGACGGCGAACCGTTCGAACCTCTCGCACAACAAGATCCGCGCCGTTGACGCGCCCAGAGACTTCCCGAAACAAACACATCCTGGCCGCGAGAACGACGAAACGGGATGATGTCGGATGGCTCGGCGTGTCCATCCATTCTGGTAGGCGGAGCAGCTTCCCGGGGGGGGCTCAAGACAGGGGCGCTTGCCAAGCGGGCAAGACAAGGGAGGGCGTCAGGGGAGGGAGGGCAATCGCACTCGAAACGCACCCTCAGCTTGACACGACGACGTGCCACGTCCTCGGCCGTGACTTCCAGAGGGCGCGCGTGGTCAGGGTGAGAGGCCTGGGTCGACGGCAACGACAACGACACCATGACGGCCAACTCCCCCGACCTCCACGCGTCCGAGACACACATCTCGGGCCTCGCGCAATGGTAGGGGGATAGAAGCTCATTGCAGCGATCGTCTCTGGGTCTAACTCTGACAAACGGCTGAGGAGCCTCCCCATCCTCGTTATCGCTCGGACGTCCATTCCCTGCTCATTTTTGATCGGCTTCGCGTGTGTATTTTCCCAAAGTGAGCAAACATGTCCTCGCCGAGGAAAAACGCACACGTCCGAGCGATGCTAAGCAACCTCCTTCCCCCCCCCCCCCCCGACGGCGGCGGCGGCGTCGCGGGCACGGTGACGGCCTGGGCGTCCTCTCTTGCGGGACGGGTCGCTTCCAACAAATCTCTGCGGGCGGGCTCGCACACGGAGGTGCGCGCCGTGGCGGGGCAGGAGGGGCATCTCCGGCGGCCTCTGTCCCACAAGACACGACGGCAAACACTCGCGGAGGGGAGGGGCTCGTCACCCCTGCGGCTGGGGGCCTGGCGTGCTTGCGTCTGAGAGGATTGGTGGCCCTGTCAGGCAGGAACCCTCCACAAAACTGGGCCTCGGGCGACTGACCAGCCCAACAGTACACCTGACGAAGGATGAGGATGAGGATGAGGATGAGGATGAGGATGAGGATGAGGAGGAGGAGGAGGAGGAGAAAGACATGGAGAACAACCGCATGGGCTTGGACCGTATTTTCCAAAGAGCCAATAAATAGCCACACCTCGTTGAGCAACCTCGTCCGCAAACTTGTGACCGACATTCTCTATGGACCTTTCGATCTGCTGGGACGCCGCGGATCGAGGCCTCCATGATCATCAATGGCTCTCCGTATGGCCCTCCAGAGGTCAAGATTCTGACGCGAAAGGTCCAGACACCACTCCCGACCGCGCAGCGTG